AATTTTTTATTTGAAAAAAAAATTGTTCACCTGTCAAGTTATCGTAGTAGTGATAATGTAATATTACGTGACAATTTCAGTATTACCTATCATTGTCGGTAACATGTGTGTAATTTTATTCCTTTTCAAATTGAAATCAAACTTAATTTTTATATAAATATTATTTTATATTTATACTAATAGTTATATTAAAATTTGACAGTATTTTGGTCACGTGAATATTTCATACTACGTATCATATGAAAGACTTGACACGTGTAATAATTTTTTTTTAAATTCCATATTGAGTAATTTCTTTTAAGAAAATCTAATTGATATATTTGTTCAAAAGTTAAAAGACAATTAAATATTTTTTAAGAACAAAAACCAAACACTCCTATCAAAGTAAATATCATTTGACTAATTAAGCCATAACTAAATTTTATAAATATGTTAACAAAGTTTCAATTCCTAGATCAATATACAAAAAGCTGTAAGGAGAAATAAAATTTATTTCAATAATTTGCATATTTTCAGAAGAATAATCTCATCGATAATCTTTATGTTTTAGAAGCTCAGTCATGAAAATATTTTCACAGTGAAAAGATGCAGGAATTCAATGAATGTTCATGGAAGATTAGTCTCGTAACGTTTATTAAGAAAAAAAGGCCATACGTTTAGAAGAGAAGTTATTAACTTTAACGGTTGAATTATAATTGTATAGCATCTTAATTATGTACGCGAAATTTTAGAAAGCATATATAAAAGATTTTCTCTTAAATTTTACAAAAGTTTAAAATGATCTATATATTTTGTTTATCTTTTAAGAAATAATATCTTAAGTAAAAATCTTAATGTAAAATTATTTTCGTAATTAGTTAAAAACTAATATTTTCAAGCTAAAACGAAACTTGTCAAGGTCAAAGACAAATTCTTTTTTTCTCTAGTTCTGGGTGCTGCTTTTCAGGGATAATGGAAGTTTTAAATTTCAAAATATATCAATGTTATGATTAACATATTTGATATTGGAAGAGTGATAGGTGAAAATGGATCGGATCCACCGTGAATAATGTTTATTTATTATTTAACTTGTAATATAAAATTAGATTACTTATTTTTCTAATGTTACAAGTATTTATAAATACCTGTAAATATTTAAAAAAAATTATACATTTTTAAAACAAAATATAAAATTAAATATAAAATTAAATTAAAAAAATATAAAATATGATACAATTTGAATTAAATATATATTAAATTTTAATTTTAACTTTTTCAAATAGTAAACATGAACCAGTAATATTATATTATTTATTTATAAGTGAATATTAAATTATTTGTTATCCGTTTCCAATTCATATATGTTTAAAGTATCACTTATAATAGATTTTATTGGCTCCAGACACAAATTTTTTTTGTTATTTTTAATTATTTTATAGGAAAAACACAAACTCTTTTAGATTTTCTTTGAATTTTTTTATATATCTAAAAATTTCATGTCTTTAAATATATATTTTAAGAATAAACATTAATAAAAATTTCTGATTCCAAAATAAAATATAGTGATTAATCAATGATATTATATGAGTTGGGAACGTAGTGACACTTTTAACATATGAATAAATGGAGTATGTAGGAAATATAAGACATCATCCATTGATTTGTAAAAGAATTGTGTTTACGTTAATAATAATATTTAATTATTTTTATGATATAATAATTATTAATATTTGACTACTTGCACCATTGGATGGTTTGGAAATATGCGTGTATGGACTTTGACCTTAAATCTCGCATCGTCTTTCACTCTTTTTGATTCATCGCTTTCGCAACACTTCTGTTATCGTGGCCATTGCGTGTGCCTAGGAGCTGGGGAAACTTTCCATAACACTTCCTCCAATAATATCGTATTAATCAAGCTTAACTTGTTATTAAAGGGATTTTGTTCTAATTATGGTGTATACTTTTTATTTTTAACAATCTAATCTTTCTTTAACTTTTTTCTCTCTTCTTCAATATAGCTAACATGATTTTGTATCAGATTTATAAAATTCATATACTTATTTCCAATAATTAGATTAATTCAGTGTTTACTCACAATACATTCGATTTAGTACTAAATTCTGGTAAATATAATAGTAGTAAATTCATAAAATTTTCAGTAAAGTTAAAATATAGTACTCCAAGACATGAAATATTAATACTAGATAACATATAATAATAATTCAACACTAAATTGTGCTAAATACTGTAATTGTACTAAATTCATAGAATTTTAAATAAATATAAAAATTATATGACACAAAATATTGTCAAAAAATAATATATGACAATGCTTAATATTTTAAGTGAAATACTGAATTTAAAAATTCATTTTTTATTGTATTATATATTCCTCTTGTAAAATTGTGACTAACCTATCTCATGAAGTCTCATACCAGTCCATATTCAAATTCAGTATTTAAAAAAATATAAGAGTTTGCTGTTATTATTATTGGTACGGAAAATTTGAGTGTGCAAACAAGCATGATCAAGGGAGGATTCACATGCAGGCCGGTGCCGACAACCAATTAACAAAATTATTTTACTTTAACACCCTCTGAAAATATAAAATTTGCACTTTTTTTTTAAAAGGGATGGTGTGCTTCGTGTAATTTTACGTGCCAAAGCCAAAACCAAGGATATTTTTTTGTTCTTTAGTGCTATTTTAAATTCACTGATAATAAAACTTTTGCTTTAAATTTAGTTTAAAATTAATTAATTTCAATG